CATGAAGAACCGTCCCCCTATAAGGGCGTTTGTGAGCCCGGGAAGCTGCGAAATCCGTACCGGTATAAAATGTGAAGCAATGTTACTCGGATCCTGGACCGCCCAGCACGATCGTGTTTGCCACAATCCTAGATAGCTTAGGACGAGATTCCAGCTCTTTTTGCCTTCAAACGGGCCCGCCGCATGAAGAACCGTCCCCATATAAGGGCGTTTGTGAGCCCGGGAAGCTGCGAAATCCGTACCGGTATAAAATGTGAAGCAATGTTACTCGGATCCTGGACCGCCCAGCACGATCCTGTTTGCCACAATCCTAGATAGCTTAGGGACGAGATTCCAGCTCTTTTTGCCTTCAAACGGGCCCGCCGCATGAAGAACCGTCCCCATATAAGGGCGTTTGTGAGCCCGGGAAGCTGCGAAATCCGTACCGGTATAAAATGTGAAGCAATGTTACTCGGATCCTGGACCGCCCAGCACGATCGTGTTTGCCACAATCCTAGATAGCTTAGGGACGAGATTCCAGCTCTTTTTGCCTTCAAACGGGCCCGCCGCATGAAGAACCGTCCCCCTATAAGGGCGTTTGTGAGCCCGGGAAGCTGCGAAATCCGTACCGGTATAAAATGTGAAGCAATGTTACTCGGATCCTGGACCGCCCAGCACGATCCTGTTTGCCACAATCCTAGATAGCTTAGGACGAGATTCCAGCTCTTTTTGCCTTCAAACGGGCCCGCCGCATGAAGAACCGTCCCCCTATAAGGGCGTTTGTGAGCCCGGGAAGCTGCGAAATCCGTACCGGTATAAAATGTGAAGCAATGTTACTCGGATCCTGGACCGCCCAGCACGATCGTGTTTGCCACAATCCTAGATAGCTTAGGACGAGATTCCAGCTCTTTTTGCCTTCAAACGGGCCCGCCGCATGAAGAACCGTCCCCCTATAAGGGCGTTTGTGAGCCCGGGAAGCTGCGAAATCCGTACCGGTATAAAATGTGAAGCAATGTTACTCGGATCCTGGACCGCCCAGCACGATCGTGTTTGCCACAATCCTAGATAGCTTAGGACGAGATTCCAGCTCTTTTTGCCTTCAAACGGGCCCGCCGCATGAAGAACCGTCCCCCTATAAGGGCGTTTGTGAGCCCGGGAAGCTGCGAAATCCGTACCGGTATAAAATGTGAAGCAATGTTACTCGGATCCTGGACCGCCCAGCACGATCCTGTTTGCCACAATCCTAGATAGCTTAGGGACGAGATTCCAGCTCTTTTTGCCTTCAAACGGGCCCGCCGCATGAAGAACCGTCCCCCTATAAGGGCGTTTGTGAGCCCGGGAAGCTGCGAAATCCGTACCGGTATAAAATGTGAAGCAATGTTACTCGGATCCTGGACCGCCCAGCACGATCCTGTTTGCCACAATCCTAGATAGCTTAGGACGAGATTCCAGCTCTTTTTGCCTTCAAACGGGCCCGCCGCATGAAGAACCGTCCCCCTATAAGGGCGTTTGTGAGCCCGGGAAGCTGCGAAATCCGTACCGGTATAAAATGTGAAGCAATGTTACTCGGATCCTGGACCGCCCAGCACGATCCTGTTTGCCACAATCCTAGATAGCTTAGGACGAGATTCCAGCTCTTTTTGCCTTCAAACGGGCCCGCCGCATGAAGAACCGTCCCCATATAAGGGCGTTTGTGAGCCCGGGAAGCTGCGAAATCCGTACCGGTATAAAATGTGAAGCAATGTTACTCGGATCCTGGACCGCCCAGCACGATCCTGTTTGCCACAATCCTAGATAGCTTAGGGACGAGATTCCAGCTCTTTTTGCCTTCAAACGGGCCCGCCGCATGAAGAACCGTCCCCCTATAAGGGCGTTTGTGAGCCCGGGAAGCTGCGAAATCCGTACCGGTATAAAATGTGAAGCAATGTTACTCGGATCCTGGACCGCCCAGCACGATCCTGTTTGCCACAATCCTAGATAGCTTAGGACGAGATTCCAGCTCTTTTTGCCTTCAAACGGGCCCGCCGCATGAAGAACCGTCCCCATATAAGGGCGTTTGTGAGCCCGGGAAGCTGCGAAATCCGTACCGGTATAAAATGTGAAGCAATGTTACTCGGATCCTGGACCGCCCAGCACGATCCTGTTTGCCACAATCCTAGATAGCTTAGGGACGAGATTCCAGCTCTTTTTGCCTTCAAACGGGCCCGCCGCATGAAGAACCGTCCCCCTATAAGGGCGTTTGTGAGCCCGGGAAGCTGCGAAATCCGTACCGGTATAAAATGTGAAGCAATGTTACTCGGATCCTGGACCGCCCAGCACGATCGTGTTTGCCACAATCCTAGATAGCTTAGGACGAGATTCCAGCTCTTTTTGCCTTCAAACGGGCCCGCCGCATGAAGAACCGTCCCCCTATAAGGGCGTTTGTGAGCCCGGGAAGCTGCGAAATCCGTACCGGTATAAAATGTGAAGCAATGTTACTCGGATCCTGGACCGCCCAGCACGATCCTGTTTGCCACAATCCTAGATAGCTTAGGACGAGATTCCAGCTCTTTTTGCCTTCAAACGGGCCCGCCGCATGAAGAACCGTCCCCCTATAAGGGCGTTTGTGAGCCCGGGAAGCTGCGAAATCCGTACCGGTATAAAATGTGAAGCAATGTTACTCGGATCCTGGACCGCCCAGCACGATCCTGTTTGCCACAATCCTAGATAGCTTAGGACGAGATTCCAGCTCTTTTTGCCTTCAAACGGGCCCGCCGCATGAAGAACCGTCCCCCTATAAGGGCGTTTGTGAGCCCGGGAAGCTGCGAAATCCGTACCGGTATAAAATGTGAAGCAATGTTACTCGGATCCTGGACCGCCCAGCACGATCCTGTTTGCCACAATCCTAGATAGCTTAGGACGAGATTCCAGCTCTTTTTGCCTTCAAACGGGCCCGCCGCATGAAGAACCGTCCCCCTATAAGGGCGTTTGTGAGCCCGGGAAGCTGCGAAATCCGTACCGGTATATAAATGTGAAGCAATGTTACTCGGATCCTGGACCGCCCAGCACGATCCTGTTTGCCACAATCCTAGATAGCTTAGGACGAGATTCCAGCTCTTTTTGCCTTCAAACGGGCCCGCCGCATGAAGAACCGTCCCCCTATAAGGGCGTTTGTGAGCCCGGGAAGCTGCGAAATCCGTACCGGTATATAATGTGAAGCAATGTTACTCGGATCCTGGACCGCCCAGCACGATCCTGTTTGCCACAATCCTAGATAGCTTAGGACGAGATTCCAGCTCTTTTTGCCTTCAAACGGGCCCGCCGCATGAAGAACCGTCCCCCTATAAGGGCGTTTGTGAGCCCGGGAAGCTGCGAAATCCGTACCGGTATAAAATGTGAAGCAATGTTACTCGGATCCTGGACCGCCCAGCACGATCGTGTTTGCCACAATCCTAGATACCTTGGGACGAGATTCCAGCTCTTTTTGCCTTCAAACGGGCCCGCCGCATGAAGAACCGTCCCCCTATAAGGGCGTTTGTGAGCCCGGGAAGCTGCGAAATCCGTACCGGTATAAAATGTGAAGCAATGTTACTCGGATCCTGGACCGCCCAGCACGATCCTGTTTGCCACAATCCTAGATAGCTTAGGACGAGATTCCAGCTCTTTTTGCCTTCAAACGGGCCCGCCGCATGAAGAACCGTCCCCATATTAGGGCGTTTGTGAGCTCACGAAGCTGCGAAATCCGTACCGGTATAAAATGTGAAGCAATGTTACTCGGATCCGGGACCGCCTAGCACGATCGTGTTTGCCACAGTTCTAGATACCTTGGGACGAGATTCCAGCTCTTTTTGCCTTACTCTCTCGAGGAGGAAGGTATTTTCCCCCATAAACAGGTTTCCCAAGAGTCACACGTGGTCTAGGGTTTTTGAAGTAGAATTGAAGGAGCTAAACCCACTAGGTTTTTTGAAGGAGAATTGAAGTGAGCTAGAGATATGGAGGCAAATGAAGAGTTTATGCTCCTACAAGTACTTGGTGGTGGGTCACAATGGTTGGGGGGGTTTTCAAACTTGGTTGGGGTGCGGTTTTTCAAGGTCGAAATGGGTGGGAGGGGGGGTCAAAATTTTGCGAATTTGACATTCGCGACGAAAGCGCGAATGTCAATTTTGCGATGTGGCAATTTTTTTTTCCCAGTCAGCCCGGAAAAAAAACACCAAGTGTCCTACACCCTGCGTCTGGACGCAACGTCTTTTGCAACTAAGAAGCCAGCTCCTACATCAACAGCATCGTCTATGGCTTCCTAGGTCGGTCCTAGATTCGAATGAGTAGCCTGCTTGCTCAATGAGTGAGCGACTGTCATGGTGACCATACCATAGTCTAAATGGTCGGTGCCAAGCCTCTGTGGCTTGAGGTGCAGGCTGCTCTACAGTCCACTCCACAGTCCACTCTACAGGCTGCTCTGCAGAACATTGCACGTGCGACTGCCATGCTGGACGGTAGTGAGTGCTGCGGTGAAGGGCAGTGCAGGTTTCAGGTGACTGTCTGATAGGGCTGGCCTCTCCTGGAACCTCTGCCAGTTCACATGAAATGGCTGGCTTGTGGCGGCCTTGTTTGAAAGATGGCAGGTTTCGATTGATATATGGCTGGCCTTTGTCTGATGTCACTTTGATAGCATCCTTATGCTCTAGCTGTAGATATATGGCCGGCCCTACTCACGCTTCGTCAATGCTCTCTGGTTTGGTGCGATCGCCTTGCCTCTTGGCCCCTCAATACCCCTGGTCAAGTAACGTGAACGTTTTTATGTCATCGCCTTCCTTCATGCTCTCCGCGTCCACCCTCACCACCACCAAAGTACTTCACTCAACAATGAGCTAGCCCCGCCTTCAAGGGTGAGCCATCCGCCGCAAGTCATACGGCGGTGGCTACCTCTGGTGAGAGAGGGGCACGTGTCCAGCCTCGCATGCCCCGCCCTCTATCCGCCCCATGGTGGGCGGCGGCACGGAGGGCTTCAAGGGGCATGCAAGACCCGAGAGTGCTCATTCTCCCTACCTTGTGCCTCCTCCTCCCTCCTCCACCCCTCCTGCTCCACCCGTTTCTCCACCCTCCGCGCCACGAGAGTATTTCCCCGAGGGCAAGTTAGACCTGACATAAAACCGCCCGATGGTGGAAGGGGCACGGAGGGCGTCAAGGGGCATGCGAGGGCGTCAAGGGGCATGCGAGGGTGATCATTCTTCCCACCTAGTGCCACCTCCTCGTCCCCCCCCCCCCTCCCCCCCCCCCTGCTCCACCCCCCTCTCCACCCTCACCACCAGAATACTCGCCTCAGGGCGAGTCGAGCTAGACTTGGCGTCAATCCGCCCCATGGTGGACAGCAAGCTCGCTCGCTGAGACCCCAGAGGGGTCGCTTGCTGAGGCCGCATAGGGGGTTTAAAGGGGCATGCGAGAGTGAACATTCTTCCCTACCCAATACCATCCCTTCTTCCACTTCCTCTCCTTCCACCCCCCCTGCTCCACCCCCCATTCTCCACCCGCCGTTCTCCACCCTCACAACCAGAGTACTCCCCTGAGGGCGAGCTTTACTTAACCTCAATTCGCCCGATGGTGGAGGGCGGCACGGAGGGCTTTAAGGGGCACGCAAGGGTGATCATCCCGGGGGTGACGCCGTGCTTCCACTGCACACTCTGGCTCTTTCCCCCCCAGACCAAGTCCCCCCTCTGCACGCTCGCTGAGACCCCGCGCTCGCCCGCGCACTGCATTGAATACGCGCACCTCTTTCAGTGGGGCGAGGTGAGACTCGCACCTCATTCGGTGGGGCGAGGTGAGACGTGCACCTCATTCAGTGGGGCGAGGTGAGACGCGCACCTCATTCAGTGGGGGGAGGTGAGACGCGCACCTCATTCAATGGGGCGAGGTGAGACATACAGTGGATCTACCAGAAGGTACCGTTGTAGCGCTTTCTGAACAACTCTGTTTTGCTTCTCTTTTAGCCATTTTTATTTGTTAATGCGACGGCCACCTGTCAACTTCACGTGATCCACGTGTCTGTGTTTTACCTTTCCCCTCCTCTCCCGTCCTTTCCTCTCCTTTCCTCTCCTCTCCCGCCCTCCCCTTCCCTCTCCTCCTTCTTCGATCTCTCTCCCCGCCTTACCTTGCTTCCCACAGGCTCTCATTCGCGCGCAGCATCACAGGGGTCACACTCTCCCTCACGCAGGTGTGGCCAAGCACTCTCCAAATGCATGATGCATGCATGTGTGCCTTACGAGTCCACTCACCACTAGCACAGTTTCACAGGGGTCACACTCTCCCTCACACACGACAGTCAGACCAAGCATCCGACCAGTCACTCCTTCAGATGCCCCATGCATGCGTCTGTGTGCCTTTCCAGCCCACCTATTACCACAGCATGGCAGGGGTCACTTTCGTCCCTCACAAACATTTCACTTCTCACGTATCCCTCCCTCCCAACACGCTGCTATGCGATGTGCGTGAGGGCGAGACCGTCCTCACGCGCAGCAGCGTGTTGCCATCCGCCTCCCAACACGGTTGTGCGCTGCTGTACTGCTGTGCTCCGTGCTCTTGTGCTGCTGCTTCTATGCTGCGTGCCAACCGATGCACTATTTCTCACAATCTCCGCCACTGAGGTTAACAGTTCAGCACAGCTAGGACTCGTCTTTGTCTTCACGTCCACCATGACTCGCTCCCCTCTTCCACCATGACCCGCTCCCCTCTTTTCCCAAGCTGCTTCTTCTACTTCTTGCCATCCCCTCCCATTCTCACTCAACGCATCTCTGCCGTACCACACCTTCACTCTTGTGTCACACCGTCAAACTGCATTTGGTGTAGGGAGTGGTGAAGAACATCATCCCCGCTATAGCATCAACCAACGCCATCATATCAGCGGTGTGCGCACTGGAGACGCTCAAGATCGCTACAATGTGCTCCGCAGGGATGAACAACAACGTGATGTAAGTGAATGTGCTTATACACATGAATCCCTCAGTGATGTCTGTGAGAGTGCTTCTATGTCTGAACAAGTGATGTGATTGAATGTTCTCATGTGCACCCTTGCGCAAATATGCCACACGTCCCTCTCCCCTGTCCGTATTCCAATCCCCACGTGTGTGGCCCCCACTCCACAGGTACGTGGGCACACAGCGAGTCTACTCACACACCGTCGCCTATGACAAGGATTCCGAGTGCCTTGAGCACATATGCCACACTTCCCTCTCCCTTGTTCTTGTCCCGAACCCCACATGTGGGCCCCACCCCACAGGTATGTGGGCACGCAGGAGTCTACTCACACACCGTGGCCTATGAGAGGGACCTTGAGTGCCTCGTGTGCAGCGCTGGCGTGCCTGTGACCGTGCCTTCCATTGCCACTCTGCAGCAGGTATTTATGATGTGTGCATGGCATGTGCTGGCATGGCTGATTGCACTCTGCAGCAAGTAGGTATGTGGGGTGCTAGCACGGTAGCAAATCCTCATTTCAGTTGCACTTGGAAGCAGCTCTTGTTTTCTGCAGCAGGTGTTGCCATCCCCAGCAACTAGGGCATGTTTATTACTTTCCTTTCTTGCCGACTGGAGGTGTTTTGAATGTGAACGATAAGAAGCTAGCAGGTGTGCATAGAGTGAGGGTCTCTTTCAAAGATGAACTGTGATCGGAGAAAATCATTATCGCAAACTTTGAACATTTATGGTTGTACATTGTTCAAAGGTAAATAAGGTCTTGGTTTATGATACTGAAGCTAGCAGTATTCATGGTCTGTAACGTAATGTTACAAGCTTAAATCATGTGCAATAACGAAGACTGCAATGCCAGCTCCCACGATTATTGTTCAGTTTCTCATGCTACTACTGGCACCTCGCGCGCACCTCTCTCTCCTCCATATACAGCCTATTTTACGCTGGATTCTGCGGCTGCTCTTTGTGAAAAAAATTCAGCCGTGCCCTTGTCTGAAGAATTCCCACAGAATCTGCAGGCGTGTCGAGTTCTGCAGCCGTGCCCTTGTCTGAAGAATTCCCACAAACGCCCTAATATGTGATTCTGAAGCAATGTTACTCGGATCCTGGACCGCCCAGCACGATCCTGTTTGCCACAATCCTAGATAGCTTAGGACGAGATTCCAGCTCTTTTTGCCTTCAAACGGGCCCGCCGCATGAAGAACCGTCCCCCTATAAGGGCGTTTGTGAGCCCGGGAAGCTGCGAAATCCGTACCGGTATATAATGTGAAGCAATGTTACTCGGATCCGGGACCGCCTAGCACGATCGTGTTTGCCACAGTTCTAGATACCTTGGGACGAGATTCCAGCTCTTTTTGCCTTCAAACGGGCCCGCCGCATGAAGAACCGTCCCCCTATAAGGGCGTTTGTGGGCCCGGGAAGCTGCGAAATCCGTACCGGTATAAAATGTGAAGCAATGTTACTCGGATCCTGGACCGCCCAGCACGATCCTGTTTGCCACAATCCTAGATAGCTTAGGACGAGATTCCAGCTCTTTTTGCCTTCAAACGGGCCCGCCGCATGAAGAACCGTCCCCCTATAAGGGCGTTTGTGAGCCCGCGAAGCTGCGAAATCCGTACCGGTATATAATGTGAAGCAATGTTACTCGGATCCTGGACCGCCCAGCACGATCCTGTTTGCCACAATCCGAGATAGCTTAGGACGAGATTCCAGCTCTTTTTGCCTTTAAACGGGCCCGGTGCATGAAGAACCGTCCCCCTATAAGGGCGTTTGTGAGCCCGGGAAGCTGCGAAATCCGTACCGGTATAAAATGTGAAGCAATGTTACTCGGATCCTGGACCGCCCAGCACGATCCTGTTTGCCACAATCCTAGATAGCTTAGGACGAGATTCCAGCTCTTTTTGCCTTCAAACGGGCCCGCCGCATGAAGAACCGTCCCCCTATAAGGGCGTTTGTGAGCCCGGGAAGCTGCGAAATCCGTACCGGTATATAATGTGAAGCAATGTTACTCCGATCCGGGACCGCCTAGCACGATCGTGTTTGCCACAGTTCTAGATACCTTGGGACGAGATTCCAGCTCTTTTTGCCTTCAAACGGGCCCGCCGCATGAAGAACCGTCCCCCTATAAGGGCGTTTGTGGGCCCGGGAAGCTGCGAAATCCGTACCGGTATAAAATGTGAAGCAATGTTACTCGGATCCTGGACCGCCCAGCACGATCCTGTTTGCCACAATCCTAGATAGCTTAGGACGAGATTCCAGCTCTTTTTGCCTTCAAACGGGCCCGCCGCATGAAGAACCGTCCCCCTATAAGGGCGTTTGTGAGCCCGCGAAGCTGCGAAATCCGTACCGGTATATAATGTGAAGCAATGTTACTCGGATCCTGGACCGCCCAGCACGATCCTGTTTGCCACAATCCTGTGGGAATTCTTCAGACAACTGACAGCACGATCCTGGACCGCCCAGCACGATCCTTGCTCCTGTCAACTGACAGCACTATTCGCGCTTTCAACCATGGTTGTGTCCCATTCTTATACAAGATAATAACTTCGATTGATGCGTGACTGCTTTCCTTCGTGACCTTGTGCGAGCATGACTCTAAGAGTACATACTAGTCTCGGTCGGCACAGATAGAACGCCGTTTGTTCCGCGCAGCCATCTCTACCTCTGCTTCTCGCGGCTGCGTTCCTTCTTGCCCTTTTGCGGGCAGAGTTGCACATACTAGTATGATGGCGGCGCAAACTCCGGAGCCGCTGATCAGAGCAAGACGACGATTTCAGCACTCGTTCAGCCCAGCGTTTACCCCTCTCTTCTGTACGTATACCATGTGGGTTAGGATGGGACTACTTTACAACGCTCCGAGAGCTACACGTTTGTGTGTGCACCAAGTACTACGTGAATCAGGCATCGTCTGCTCCTACACAATTTATTATTGTGTCAACTCTCAATTTCAGCATGCGATACACTCCAATTCATGCCACTCTGCTCGATTCTCGTTGTTTGGAGGGGGGAAGGGGAAGAGAGGATGAAGAGACGAAACACGGGAGGACGAGCGGATGAGAGGACGACGAGTGGATGACAGGATGATGAGTGGATGAGAGGACGAGGGGGCGACAAAATTAATTAGTTTGAATCGGAAGCAGAGGACTCGCGTCCTGCGAGCTCATAAGGTTGGACCTTGCAAAAAAGCCGCTACACCAAGAGCTTACTGTGCACAATACCCATCACCTTTTCTTTTCCCTCACTTCTCCCGTCTCCCCCCTTAGCGTCTAAATCCCCAAGAACGTGAGACGCTGTCACCGACCACGCCTATCTCATCGCATGAATCACGATCTGATCACGTGTTTCACCTCACCATTCGCCAACTTACCATCCAACTTAGCTTCCATCCTCAGTCACTCATTTGTTTCCAACATTACCAATTTAGCCTTGTTGGCAGTTAACCTCGTGACGACCTTTTCAGACAAAGCGGCGGCCGGCACTCTTAGCCTACTCCTTCAAAGAAAGTAAGCAATGATTCTGCAGAGCTCGACTCAGACGACAAATTCCCTCTCTCCTTCTCTCCAAAAGCTCGTTCGCCAGCAGTCAAACAACTTTGCAGTCAACTAGCTGTCTTGACTTCGTCTCCCATAGGTGTCCCGCTCGAACTCCGTTGCTTTATGAAAGCTCTCTTCTGATACCATCTCACCTCTTCCTCCCACTCCCTTTCACCACAGTGCCACAAAATACAACCTTTGCTACACTCTTGTGCTTACTGGGCCAGCCACCGCACCCAAACGAATCGCTTTATATCAGAGACAAGCAGCCGCCCATCATCACAATCTCCCTCCCCCCCCTCGCCTGCGCACAGCCCGCGCCATCCGTGTGGCACTGCTCGGGCGCACCTGCCTCGCCTCCCCTCCCCGCTGCTCCCCTTGCCGCTCTCCTTGCTGCTGCTTCTGCTGGCACTGCTGGTGGTAACACTCTCGGTGATAACATTGCCGGTGGTAACACTCCTGGTGGTAACACCGCGGGTAGAAACACTGCAAGTGGCATCACTGTGAGCGGTACCAGTGGCATCGGATTCTCTGCTGCGGTGGTGGGCGTTGGGAGCAGCAGCATTGGTGCGTTATCTCAAGCCAAGGCGTTCTACGCAGGTCAGCTGGTGTGCAGAGTGGTGGTAGCGTGTGGTGAGGGGTGGAGAGTGGCGGTAACTGGTGGCGAGGTGGAGAGAGTGTGGAGGTAAGGTGTGGTGGGTTCGAGTAGGGAGGGAATAAGGATGGAAAATCAAGTAATGCACTGAAGGAAAATCAGGTCCTTCCATGCCGCACATCGTCCTGCACCCTGCTAATCACACTGAAAACCAGGGTGAGGCAATCAGGTTGTTTTGCCCTGATTTCATGGGCCCTGCATACAAGTCACTTCTCTCTACTTTGCGTTCACACCCCCCACCCCCCAGCACCCAAACTTGCACAAGATACGTACGGTAATCTTGCGCAATCTGGGTCTCAAGCTTTACCAAAATCTTCCCTGTAAAGTCAGGAATTTTCTATGAAAACAGAGAGGTTGCCTTGAGGCCTCAGGGTGTCCAATTTAGTTTGAAGGTTTAAACCAGAGTTCAATAACAGTGGGGTCATTTATTTACCGTACAGCTCAACAACTCCACTTGTATGGTGATTTTTACATAATGCATATTGTAAGACATCCTTATTTTCTGAGATGCATGCATGGTCCATCCTATCTCGTCAAATTTGAATCCCAATCGCCACATAGAAGAATAAAAAAACCAAGACATGACAACGTGAGATGAGATATCCACAGGGAAATTCAAATGGAATGTTTCAATCCAATTATGATATGCTACTGCATTGCATATTACCATACCCAACCACAAAGCGGATCGCTAGGGATACGCAATCGCTTCCGAAGTCCATGGCAATGGGGACATGCAAGGCTTTAGTATCAGAATCCCAACCACTAGACCATTGGGATAAAAGGGCTTGTTAAGTAGCTGGTTAGTGCGCCCATAACCCTCAGGCTAACATGCCTGTAACCTTTCCCTAGGATCAATCGGGGATCACCAGTGGACCTCTGACACCCCCCCGCACTGGGATGCCCGAAGTGCACACACTGGGATTCGAACCCGAGACCTTCGCTCTAATACCATGTCAGAATCCCAACCACTAGAAGAGCTTGTTAAGTAGCGGGTCAGTGCGCCCATAACCCCCCAGGCCAACATGCCTGTAACCCTTCCCTAGGATCAATCAGGGATCACCAGTGGACCTCTGACACCCCCCCGCACTGAGATGCCCGAAGTGCACATACTGGGGTTCGAACCCGAGACCTTCGCTCTAATACCATGTCAGAATCCCAACCACTAGAAGGGCTTGTTAAGTAGCGGGTCAGTGCGCCCATAACCCCCCAGGCCAACATGCCTATAACCCTTCCCTAGGATCAATCAGGGATCACCAGTGGACCTCTGACACCCCCCTCGCACTCAGATGCCCGAAGTGCACACACTGGGGTTCGAACCCGAGACCTTCGCTCTAATACCATGTCAGAATCCCAACCACTAGACCATTGGGATAAAAGGGCTTGTTAAGTAGCGGGTCAGTGCGCCCATAACCCCCTAGGCCAACATGCCTGTAACCCTTCCCTAGGATCAATCGGGGATCACCAGTGGACCTCTGACAACTAGTCCTCACTAGAATGTTTGCACTGCACACTATACTAACTGCTATTTGTGCCTAGAGGACGGCATGGGAGACTGAACGAGCGGTGCCACCCGGAGCAGGCACGTTACACGAATAGAATTGAACCAAGCATCAGAGTGATGACAGCGGTGAGAGTAGTGGCTGGTGTAGCAAGCAAACCTGCCATTGCCAGGGTGGCAAAAAGACAATAAGAATGAGGGCAGAACTAACAACCCGCTCCCAGGAAACAAGGGGATGATGAAAAGAGGGAATCAGATTGAGGAGGTGTGGAAATTTGAAGGGGGGCTACATGGTGAGGTACCACGAAGATTGCTAAGGAGGGGCAACAGAAAGCGGAAGAACGAATGGCATAGCAGTAAGGGGTGCAGAAGTAACAAGTTACCTGCAGCCATGGGTGGGGGAGGAGAAGGAGTAGCAGAAGGAGCACTGCCACTTGGAGCAGGCGGAGCAGCAGAAGGAGCACTGCCACTGCCGCCACTGTTGCTGGCAAAAGTAACGGTGCCATCAGAGTTGAGGGTGAGCGGTGCGCCGAGATAGATCGATGCACCTGTGGGGCCAACAATGGTGCCGTTGCTCCACCCAGTCAGGTCCCCTGCAGTGTACGACCAGTCCGCATTGGCAGTCGACACAACTGGAGTTCCCGAGGCGTCCACAATCGTAGCGTTCTTCAGGAACGTCGTCTTTCCCATGGTGAACCCGGCAGTGGGTCCGCTAATGAAGACGACGATGCCCGAACCAGTGAGCGTGCCGTAGCCGTACGCGGTGTACACGCCATCAATAGTGGAGGATCCATCACGGTTGTTGGTGCCTTTGAATTTCCCGCCCGTGGAGTCGACAGCGGAGGTTAGTTTTTCTGTCTCACTCCACGTCACCGTGTAGCTATTGCCGAACGTCAGGCTGTTGGCGGTCGGGTTGTAGGAGTAGTTGCTACTGGGATCAACCAAACCAATGGTGTCATCAGGGTTGAGGGTGAGCGGTGCGCTGAGATAGATCGATGCGCCAGTGGGGCCAACAATGGTGCCGTTGCTCCACCATTTTAGGTCCCCTGCAGTGTACGACCCATCCGCATTGGCATTCGGCACAACTGGCTTTCTCGAAGTGTCCACGATCGTTTCGCTCTTCAGGAACATCGTCTTTCCCATGCTGAACCCCGCGGTGGGCCCACTGATAACGATTACAATGCCGGGACCGGTGAGCGTGCCGTTAGGGTAGGTGGTGTACGCGCCATCAACTGTGACGGATCCGTTGGCGGGGTTTTTGACGGCTTTGAGAGGTGCGCCATGGGAGTCGACAGCGGAGGTAATTCCCGTGGCACCCCACGTCACCGAGTATCCATTGCCGAATAAAAGGCTGTTGGTCGCCGGGACGAAAGCATATTTGTTGCTGGCGGCGCTGGTTATGGGAGGGACAGGAGTGGCAGCAACAGCCGACAAGATGAAGATGGCGAGGACCAGCATTGCGAGAAGCGGAGGCGTCTAGCGAGCCATGGCTGGAGGGAGGACGCCGAGGAAGAGTAGCCTAGTACTAGAGAGAAAAGCTGCATAGGCGCTGCTCTTCACCACCGCTGGAAATGCTTGTAATAATCAGTCGCTCCTCCCACGATCCTTTGTAAGGAGTGAGTTGGCGTGAGGGACTGATAGGGAGCATCATGATGGGGAAGCGCTGAAGAACATGCTAGCAGATGGCGAGGCCGGAGTGGCGGGCAGATAAACTCTATTTGGGATGCAATAGAAAATTTCCTCCTGGTACACTGGACCAATCGATCGCAGCCACATGCGCCTGGTGGGAGATGCTCGGTTTGCGGCGGTCAGGCTTTTCTTCGATTCTAAAAGACGGCGGAAAGGACATGGCAGCAGATGGCGAGGCGGGAGGGGCGGATAGACTATCTAAATGCAATGGAAGAATTTCCTCCTGTCACACCGGACCAACCGATCGCAGCCACGTGCGCCTGGTGGGAGAAGTTCCTTTGTGGCGGTCAGGATTTTCTTCCTTTCTAAAAGACGGCATACTGTAACAAGACAGAATTCACCATGCAAGATGCATGGGAATTTCCGAACGGGTCCTTGCCTAGCTACCTACGAACAAGAACACTTGCTAGCCTCGGGCCTTTTCCGTTATTCCTGTCGGGACGGATTGTACAGCAGAGCATAGCATCGCGGCGTGATGTCGAGATGCTATGCTAGATAGAGTAGCGACACGGTATTCCTATCCGAGTTACGCTTCTCTTTCCTTAGCGTAAATATCTCTCTAGTTCTTGTTTGTATCATCCCTGGATCTACTTTCTATTCTACTTCTTGAATCTCTTCTCAACCCTCTCGTCGAATATGGAGCTAGGCTCTCATCTAGACTTCTCCCTTCCGCTGCCAACGTTCTTCTTTCTCTTCAAGCTACGGCGCCACCGTCGCTTTATGGCGGGCTAGGCCAGCCGCGCCATGCGGACTGCGTCGTAGCCCTGTTTCACATACCCACTGACCATTATTGCTGTGTGTGAAGACGAGCTAAAGAACTGTCAGCTCAGGTCTGGATGTGGCTGCAGTTGCTGCCAAAGTTGTGGAAACCCGAGCTGGTAACCACGTTTGCAGAATTCCAATCTGCCTGCAGCGACGATCGCCCGAAAAATGGTTTCGGATTCCCCAAGCGCAAGGATTTGCTTGCATGGGGACTATTGAGGAATCCCAAAGTTGCGGAAACCCGAGCTGGTAACCACATTCGCAGAATCCCAATTCGCACACAGCACTTTTCACATGTAATTTGAAGGCTTGCGTGGCCTGAAATTTTGCCTCGAGGCGAAGAAGAGTGTTCCAGCACTTGCACCAATCGTTAAGTCTGCTGACATCAGCAGTCAGTCAAGTGTCACGTCACGAGCACGTCCGGCTGATATATGGAAGTTACGGAAACAGTACTGCACACCCTTTACCGCGCCCTGATTGGGTGCAAAGTGTCTAACTTTCTAAAACACTATAGCGACGAAGTTGAAATGTGTAGGCGAATACATCCAAATTCGTCAGGGTGAAGGGTTGTGTAACAACTGGCGGAAGGGCGGGAATACAACGTAAAATTGAACCAATTTCCGTGTTCGACCACAGCACACTAACAAGGTTCTCTTAATATCACTTGACCTTACACTTGACGTATCCACACGCAAAGAAACTACAGATTTTGGCGCGATCCGCGCAACCCTCCTCATATAATCTCACGCGTGCTCACTAGGGCTGTAACTGTAATTTGTATCATCTACTATCTTAGAGCATTGCCGCTGCCCGCCACCTAAGGCCGCGATGAGCCACATCGTGGTGGCCTCGCCGTCACAAAAAAAAATGGCGGGAAAAATATGCTCAATGACTGACAGAACAATGTTCATTCTTTGTCCATGGGACCATTGCTTGTGGTTTATCATCAGCAATCCAATTTGGTAGGGCATTGTTGTAAGAGTGCTCATGATGATTGGACAAACATACCCCTGCACGTTCGGCAAGGATTGCCGAAACACACACAGAGCAATCTTCATACTCTATACAGTGAAAGCTTACACATGGGTCGAATGGCCTACGTGCCACCCAGAGATTCGGTGATGCGCGGTGGCAAAAATTTACAACTATACGAAACAGACCGTTTGTGACGCAAACGAAACGCGCTAAGGAAAGGTAACAACTCTGCTACCATCACATTTACTAGTAGCACGCTCCGTTTATGCACTGCTGGGTACAGAGTTTTCCATTAATTCTACTAGAGTCCGGCAACATGGTTAATTGTAACCAACCGTGCGTTATATGTTTATATAATCAGCATTCCGTCATTCAATATTGTAGCAGACCGCGCGGTACGGCCCACAACCACCTGTCGAGCCGCACTGCCAGAAATAGACCTCGTGTGTTAGGGAGAGACCTCGCTGCCATTTCACTCCTCATGATGGTTCGTGTTCAGGAATTATTGCACGTAGTGAGCAACAAACTACTTGCATTGATATCACAGTGGCAGCATAGAGCACAAACACGATCTACTACAACACCACGAAATCACATGGGTCTCATTGTCAGAATACTAAGCTGAAAGTTAGAACACGAAAGAGAGTTTGCACTAGCAGGTAGTTGAGTACATATAGGAAACCCTAATTTGGGCTATACTCGCTATAGAGTACCCCACTGTAGGCTAGACAAATATCACATTCTAACACACCCCCATAGTCAAAGTGGGGTATAATCAGCACAGCAAGCAGTCATAGAGCAGGTTCACAAGTACAAGTAAAAATAGAGGCAGTCACAGATGGCAGGTGAGGAGAAGGAGGGATTGTGAGAGGAGTGGAGATAGGAGGCAACGGGTGAAGCCGCAGACACACGGGCAACAGGAGGGGGGTGCACGGTGGTTACAAGAGCAAGGGCCCCGGACTACATGAGTAACTGGCTCCGCGGCTAAGACGAGCGGCAGGAGCAACGGACCCACGGGCGGCTGGCGCAGCGGCTGGCTCGCTAGGCTACCGGAGCAAGGGCCTCGGACTACTGGCGCTGCTGACGATACGACGGCTGACTCCGCTCAACCTCCCCCAACTGTCCCAGACCCCTTTCACACACCCCCTGCGGCACCCCTAGCTCCACTCCCACGACACCCCCCTAGTGCCACTCCCTCCCCTCCCACACACCCAGCCCCCCTCAGCGGCAGCTGCAGCAATGGGAGACGGAGTAGGAGGAGGAGCAAGGGATTGTCAAAATTAGAAGAAAGAAAGAGGATTGAACTAGCAAGAATGAGGATACAAATAGCAAACCCTAGAAGGGTTGTACTCGCTATAGAGCACCCCACTACAGGCTAGAACAATAAGATAATATTCTGACACACCCCCATAGCCAAAGTGGGGTGTAATCAGCAGAGCAGGCAAAGCAAAACAAGCTCAGGGTGGATCACAATGTCACCACACATTCTGAGCACAAGTTCAAGAAGAAATAGTTTAGAGTTCACAATTATAAGCAAAGCTAGTGGTAGTCACAACGGGCAAGTGAGGAGGAGGAGGGAGAGTGAGGGGAGAGGAGACAGGAGGCGACGGCTGAAGCTGCAGACACACGGGCAACAGGAGGCAGACTGGCACAGCGGCTACCGGACAGCGCCCGGACTACAGGAGTAACAGGCCCCGCGGCTCAAATAGCGGCGGACGGGCAACGGACCCACGGGCGGCTGGCACAGCTGGCTACGACTGGGCTACCGGGACAGCGCCCCGGACTACAGGTGCTGCTGACGACAAACTGGCAACCTCCGCTCATCCTCCCGCACACAGTCCCACCCCCCTGATACACACCCACTGCTACACCACTAGCTCTACTCCCACGCACCCCCCTAAAACCCTAAACCCAGTCTCCCACACAACCACCCCCCTCAGCGACAGCTGCAGCAGTGGGAGACGAAGGAGGAGGAGGAGCAAAGGGAGGAAAGTACACTGGCCACCCCCATACCTGCCACCCCACAGCGCGCCCCTCAGGCACCGCAAGCGGCCCCCTCAGGTCGCCTAGACGGACGACGGGAATTGGGGGGGAGGGGAGAAAAAGGGGGGGGGGGGGGGGGGGGGGCCGGGGCCGCGACGAGGGGCGGGGCCGCGACGGTCGGGGCGGGGCCGCGACATAGGGCGGGGCCTCGACGTAGGGCGGGGCCGCGACATAGGGCGGGGCCGCAACGTTGGGCGGGGCCGCGAAGGTAGGGCGGGGCCGAGCCGGGCAGGCGCACGGGCGGCGACGGGCCGGGGCGGGGCCGCGACGAAGGGCGGGGCCGAGCCGGGCAGGCGCACGGGCGGCGACGGGCCGGGGCGGGGCCGCCACCCCATATCCTAAACGCAGGCGGCGCACGGGTCCTTGGGGCGCTGCGACGGGCGACTGGAAGGGTGGTGCGCAGCCCCCCAGGGCGCCGCGACAGGCGACAGGAGGGGGGGGGGGGGGGGGGGAGGGGGGACGCGCGGGCCCCCAGGGCGCCGCGGCGGGCGACGGGTAGGGCTGCGTGCAGGCCCCCGGGGCACTTCGACAGGCGACGGGAGGAGGGGCGATGCGCGGGCTCCCGGGACACCACGACGGGCAACGTAAGGGGACAGCGCGCGGGCCCCGGGGCGCCGCGTCGGGCGACGAAACCGCCGCGAGCGCCCGGGGCGCGCGGCGGGCAGGAAACCGCCATGCGCCCCGAGCGCGTGGCGGGCAGAAAACCGCCGCGCACCTGGGGCGCGCGGCGGGAAGAAAAAAACGCCACACGCGGAGGGCGCGCAACAAGCAGAAGGTGTCGCACAACAGAGGCGCGCGATAGGCAGGACAGCAGCGGAAGCATAGGGTGGGCCCACCCACAGGATTGACCAGGGAGGGTCGACCTGCTCTGATAGCATGTCAGAATAATAAGCAGAAAGTTAGAACACAAAAGAGGGTTTGCACTAGTAGGCAGTTGAGTACATATAGGAAACCCTAATTTGGGCTATACTCACTATTGAGTACCCCAC